CAGAGCCACGATCCCCATGCTTTCTGACCCAGCAGGCTTGCAGGCAGAACAAATCAATTATGGCTGTGAAAGTCTAATCCAAGGCTTCATAAACTGCAGAAGACAGATTTGACTGCCCAGGGGGACATCTGGCAGTGTCTGGGGACCTTTTCATGGCCACATGAGGGCTGAGTGCTAAATGCCTACCATGTTTAGAATGGCCCCATAAGGAAGGAGCCACCCAGAATGGCTCCTGTTGACCCTGTCCTCAGGGCCCTCTCCTTTCTGTCTCACACCACTCTTTTTATTTTCCCCATGGTCACAGGGCCTATGAGTAAAGAGAGGAGATATACAAGAAACCCAAACCAAGTTTTTGCCCACGTTTGTATCTAGCAAGAGGGACAGGCATAATGAATTTAACCATAAATCCACTGTCTGTACAGGAAGGGATAGTCTACCAAAGGAATGCACAATGATTAATTAATAATCACCTTAACTTTTTAAAGCCTTTAGCTGCTGCACTAGGGAACACACCATAATGCGGTACAAATTCCTTACCCAGTTAGAATTGTCTTTAGCTCTGTGGTGTGGCCAAACTTGCTTCATGAAATCCAACACAACCTCCTCCTTTCCAATTTACATCCAAAAAATTGGGCAGACTTGATATCAACCCAAATGGAGAAAAATCAAATGGCAAAGGAAAAGAAGAGAAGCTGCTGTCTCCTGAGGCTAGGAATGAGGCAGGGAGCACATCCCGAGAGCTGGGGAGCTCTAGGAGACATGCTGGTGGCTGGAGAGCATGCTCAGCTGTCCTGGAGAGGTTACACGTGGTGAGAACCAAGTCAATGTTGCACAAACAACAGAAGGAGAGATGCAAAGGTTGAAATTCTAGGTTTCATAATGCAGCAGGTTGGGTGCCTACCGAGTAAATGGGCTCAATTTGGTGGCGGAGGGTGTCAAGAGTTCAGAGGGATCATGCTGGTTTGTCGGGGACAGGGGCAAGAAAACCGTTTCTACGTTTTAAAAAGGTATGAAAGATCTGTGCAGAAGAGTATACACTTCACTTTCCCATGCCTCCATGTTCTCTCCACTAAGCCGAGTTAGACACAGTAACTGCACACCTTTACAGTCCACCAGCTATGTTTTTCATCAGGATTAAGAGGACACAAGCAAACACTGGCCTTCTATTTTCTCGGCCCTGGTCTTACAGTTCTCTCATTCAGTCCCATATCTTTGCTTACTAGCTGTTTCTCTCCTCTGCCCCTGCCACATTCTCTTTCCTCTCTGCTCAACAAGTGGCGATCTTAGGAGAGAAACGACAAAGGGAAATGACTGCATCAGGGAATGAATGAGCAGGAAAGCTTGCAAGCCTGCCTGGAAAGTTGTGTCCAACACCTTGCATCTATGCAAATTAAGGAGCATGTAGCTGCTGGCACTCACAGATGGGCAGAAAACAGTGTGAACTGTCGTCTTTGCTTGGGAAGCTGGTGACATTCGTGGCGATAGAGATGATGCGTACTTGGAAGTTACATTTCAACCAAATCTGTAGGTAATTATTAAAGACATCAAAAGAAGGAGAAGTCGCATAGCTGACCAACCAAAGCAAGTTCTCCTGGTGATATGACAGATGATTTCAAACGCAAAGCTCTTCCCAAGTGCAGTGGATTATGTATTTACAACTGCATCTGTCTGGTGTCACAGTTCATTAACAGACAGCCCAGGAGGAGTCTACACTGCTCCTGCTTAGTGCGCTCATTATCTAAGCCACTGCAGTCCACACACATATCCAAGCATAAACAGCGCCCAGTTTGGAGCTTTCCAAATCAGCCATTCACCTTGTGTCTGTTTACAGCAACTGAAGTGACACAGCACCCAGGACTTTCCAAGATGAAGCTCTGCATTCAGCGGGGGCTCAGGGAGGGTGTGGTCCTGGAGAAGACCCCTGTCCCAGCCGTGGGAGGAGTGCATGAGTGGGTGTGGAAGGGCTGCCGAGGCTGCCACAAACGGCTGGCTTCTGATTCACACGCATGAAGCGAGTTTCTTCTGATCGCTCCGTTTTTTTTGTTTGCTTTGGTTTTTTAAGGGATGCGTGGGAGGTGAACTTGTCAGGGGAGGGGTGAGCCGCAAGCTAACCATCTGGCAGCTGCCACGGCTTCCAGGGGCTCTCTTGTGTGTCCGGGAATCCCTGCGAAGGTTAAAGGAAGTGGGCTGGTGGGCGTCGCTTCAAAGGCAGCAGGGGTGGACAGTGAACGGCCTCTCTTTCCCATCGGTGTCTAAATTTGTCTCCATTGTTTCTTTTTTCTCCGTTCTGCTAAAATGGGACTTGGGCCCGGCGAGGGACAACAATATCTTGACAGAGAACTCTGTGCATGGAAGACAGGGTCATCTCCATTGTCTGAACTCCATGTGTAACAGAGATTACTTCTGCAGCAAACAAAAGAACTACGCACCAGAAACGTCCTCGGCAAGTAAACAAGAGAAACGTGACCCGCTTTAGCCGACTGCTTCCTGAGAGGCTTGGAGCCAGTGGCTCCCACCCCACCCCCAGCCGCGCCAGGCTGTGGCTGTGAGAAAGGCCCAGGGAGGCCACGCTCCAGCCAGGACCACTCCTATGGTGCAGGATTCACCCGAGCTGGGGCAGCGGAAGTTTCATCAGCACTGACTAGCTGCGCTAAAGGGTGCTCCCAGTGCTACTGCAGTGTACAAGGAGTACTTCTATTATGACTGGGAGAAATGTGACTCAACATAAAATAGAGTGGAGCATCATCCAACGCTTTAATTTAAAGGGGATGTTAGACATATGAAGTCTTGGCATATAATTCAATAACCTAGATGATACGCTCACAGTTGCTTAATATGGCCAGTAACTTGTCATTCCCCCAACAAACATTTCCTTGGGTCTGGAGTTTGCTAAGAAATGGAGATGTAAGATTTCTCCACACACTTACAATCATGAACTTTCATGGTTTTAACAACCTTTTGCCTAAAAATATGAGATTCATAAAAATTTGAATTTTTTTGTGCTGGTAATTTATTTCAGAGCTTGACAGACCCTCTATGAAGGCTTTGGTGATAACAAATTATGAGACATATATAATGTAAGTAGCCACAGGCTTGCTGAACTGGATAAGGTCTCCTGATTCTTTCAAGATAGCCACACAGCCAATAACTGGCCTCAGTTGCAAAGCATTTTGTGAAATAAAACATGAACTCCAGAACATTGGCCGAAACTCTGCAAATCCAGGCGTTGCGACAGCCACCAGGACATGCCGATCTCCCTCCTCTGTGCTGGTGCAATCACTCCAGAAAGCAAGCTGGCCCAACGAGTTTCCCAACGGGAAACTGGTAAGTCAACGACAGGAGAGATGTTTATATTCTTCCCTACAGTGAAAAAGCATAAACTTTTTCTTGTTGTTTTTGCTGTTCTTCATCTCCTTTCATTTAACTTCTCTTGCAACATAATACGTGAACTCCAGCAAGGAGGTTAAAGTCCAACACAGGGAAGAATTGGAGGAAGAAATGAACATGTCAGAACCAAACTTCCCGAGATATGTCTTCTCTGGAAGAGATCAAGGAGTATCACAGATTCACAGATTCCATAATCAAACTCCATATCTTCATACCACTAGTCACCTTGCCTGATACCATGGATGGGAAGTGTTTTGTACTTGTGACCCTCGGTCATTTGGCAGCCATCCCTGTGCCCCTTGACTTGCACGGACGTATGCTGCAGCTGTCAGTCCAAGGCACTCAGGAAGCAACAAGCAGCCTCAGGACAGCTGGGCTATTGGACATCTGCACAAGGTGTGCAGGGGAGCATTGTCAAATAGGCCCCAATCAAGCAGATATGCTTTGAAAATTGAACAAAGCCTGCAATATTTTACACAGGCTTGGAGAGCCACAGGGTGCCTCCGGAAACAAATTTCACTGGTATCATGGTATCAGATGGAAGTGGCTTGGGTTGGATGAGGATTAGGGAAGCTGACATCAGATGGTTGAGGTCCTGATAGAGTGGCTATTTCCTCCACTTCAGCTTCGTCCAAGGACTCAGTGAAGCAGGGGCAGAAGGGAGCCATGACACACAAAGTTAAAACCAGAGACTTGAGAGACGGTGTCCAACATTCACCTGATCTCAGACCAGTAGATTTTCTTAGAATGGGATCAGTGGATGAAATGATACAGAAAGTCACTGCCCTGTAGTTAGCAAGGCACATTCCAGGTACTTCCAATAGCAAGCAAGTTAACCTTTCTTACAAAGACTTAAGGTGGATGCCGTAGAGTAACCCACTCTGTACGTAAAAAAAGGAGAGGCAATGAGACAGAAGATGACTTTGCTCCAAAGAACACAGCTAATAAACGCAACACAGGGTGTAGACACTTCTAAGGACACACCTTTCACTCCAAGAGCCCATGCTTGCACTTGATTTGAGAAAAGGTAAGTATCTGTAAAAATTTTTTGAAAATAAAAAAACAAACAAAAGAAAGCTTTAACAAAGCACTGGATTCCTATCTGGAGAGTCTAGATCCCTGGTCTTCACCCCTGACTACAGATAAGAATGCCCTGAAAAACTGAAAAAAATAAACAAACAAACAAACAAAAAACCACTTCCCAACACAGGTCAATGGAAACACAGTGACTGGGGGCGGGGTCTGGCACCAGGCCAGCTATTTAAAAGCACTCAGGTGTTTCTCATAGGCAGTCCTGTTCAGAATGACCACTTTCACTTGTAAAAAAAAAAAAAAAAAAAGACACCTATAGTTCCAAAGAGTGATCTACCGTTTAGTTTCTATCAAACTAACAGAACAGCTTTTTTTTTTTATTTATGATGATAAGATATCCTACATTAACCTGCATCAGCAAAATTAACATTTGAGGCCTAATATTTGGCACATTCTTCCCAGAAGTCTTCTAAATGTATGCATTAAAACACAATTAAGATTGATTCTCAGAATCTATCTTAGGGAAGTGGACGTGGCCACAAATATCTAGGCTCAAGCATGTCTGTAGCAGCATTACTCACAGTGGTGAAGTGTTCGCGTCAAGCGTCAGGTAGCTAAATCAACGAGCGACAGACTAGAAGTAGCATTACACAGCTCCTCGTCATCGACAGGGGACACACATGCCCCGTTACGATCTGTGAAAACAAAAATGAAACTATGCTCACGCATTCCCAGTTGCGTGTATTCATAATTAGAAGACGGGAGGAAATCAGCAAATCATTAGCAATAGTTATCCCCAGGTTAATTTTTTTTTCTTATAATCTCTCATAAATTACAGCGAACTTGGAGGGGAGTATTCCAAATGGCTGAGTGAATGCTAACCTGAGAAGGCAAAGTCATTTTAACACCAATTAGATCATTCTACTGAGTAACATAACCTCATAACCCTAGCTGTGGGGCGTCCCTGCGACACGGACAAGCAGAGGTAGTGTCTCCAGGCGGAGATCCTTGGAAAAACGCCACCAGCTGGGCTTCAGTTTGTGGGCCAGTTGTGGAGGTTTGCATGTGTCACTTGGTTTCAAGCCTTTAACTGTTAGAGAAGTAGCCACATGCAGTTATTTTCAAAGGTTGAGAACTGGATCAAATTTATAAACAGCTTTTCACCTAGTTATGCCCCCTTATAAATGTAACTCAATCAGCACATAGAAACTAGCACTGAATTCTCAAACTGTTGATTAACTCCATTTGTTGCAAAAATGTCTACTGCTGAAAGCTGAGCTTTTGTGATGCTTCAAACCTTTGTGGGCAAATCATCTGCTACAGTCCTCTCAGGGAAAGGACTGGTTCCATTACAGTGTCAAGTCTATCTCTCAAAAAACTCTGTCAGTTATCAAATTTATACTTTTAACTTACATTCAATATGTGGAATGTCTATATGATTAAAATAAGATGGTAAATATATCTTATATTACAACCTATATATAATAAAATGCAGGACTAAACGTAAAAGGGATCTCCAAGAGTTCAATGAAACAGATACAGAAAAAAAACCAAACAAAACTAAACTACGCATGGATTTCAAAAATGTTCTTCACCAAAATAAACTTATCTTTTAACTCTGTTTCTATGAATATCTTAAAACCCCCTTTATAAGCATTTATCTATCTATACTACTTCCTGTGTCTCTTAAACTCAGAATTTTTTCCTTTTTTTCTATAAATATATATGTAGTCTTTTCTGGGTGGAGCTGAAATTTACCATTTAAAAAAATCTTTCCTCCTGAAGCTGCTGTTTCCTGCCAGAGCCTGTTGAGCCAGTAATAATGTCCCATCAAGATGAACAAGAGGTCACTAAACACGACTCATTAGATTGGCTCTAGAAAAATGGTTTGCACAATGAGAGCAAAATCCCTCTCCCGCAGGAAGCTACAGCAAGGGAAGCACCGAGGGAGAGTGTGACTGAGCCTCCTGCTTTTCTCTGTTTCTGGCCATGGGAACAAGTGTCACAACAAGAGGCAGCAAACAGTGAGTGAAGCGCCCAGAGGGGAGCTCTGCCAAGGTGATCGTACCCACTTACATCAAGGCCTCTGGGAGCTCATCGCATTTAAAACCTGACTCACTTGTACAGCTAACAGTAGAGATGCAGGAGGGTGTCATTCCTTTCACTGTGTCATGGCTCCACCCAGTTCCCCTGTGCTTTATCCCGGCCCCAGACCCTGAAAAGGACCAACAAGGTATGACAAAAAGGTGCTGGTGGGCAGTGGTGCAGTCACATGTCAATGACACTTGAGGAGGAAGCCAAGCTGCCATTCTGCCGCACAGGTTGCGGCTCTTCGTGCTGCAATCAATGAACACAAAGGAAGGCAAGCCAATGCCTATGGGTGGGAAAAGCTTCTATAACTGGAACATACAACTGAAACGTGCTGAGAGCCATGGCAGCCGGGTAAACCTAACAAGCGACCACCCAGCTGAAAGGTGGGCTCCTGGGTTCAAGAGGTTGGGTTGCATATGTGGCTTGTAAGTGGTTTCTAGAGTAGCAAAAAATAATAACAACAACAACAAAAGCTGGCCACCCAAGTCAGCATCAGCTCTGCAGTTTGAGCAGCCTGGCAGGGTCTCAGCTTCCCATTATGTGGCATCCTCCCATGTGCTGACATTAGGTCCTCCCCTGGGGAGAAGCCAAAGGGATCTAAAACCGTGTCCCATTTCCAAGGGACTCGCACTGGAAGGACTAGAACATTGGCCATGTCAGCACTGACCACTCAGTGACTTCTACATCCATCACACCCCCTCACTTCAATCTCAAAGAAATGAAATGCTGCAGATTATCCTATCAAGACCAGTCCCTCTGCACACCACAATACAGCAAACCCATTGGCCTTGCTCCCCTCTCAGCCTCTGACTTCTCTCTCTCTACCCAACCCACACTCTCAAGATGATCTGTGTCCACTGTACTCTAAGAGCATGTATTTCAGTTCTTCCCTTTACAATCAAAATCCTTTCCTAAATCCTACACTTCCCCCTTCTTACCATCCATTCTCTCCTTTCCCTACAGTTAACCACAGAAAAGGATGTTTAGCCACCTGCTTGCCATTGGCCTGGCCTGTAATCCACAGTCTTAGGCAATGTGTTTGCTGCCCCTCTATCAGCACTAAATCTGCTTGTCAAAGCAAACAGAATGAACTCTTTCTGCCAAGTGTGCACGTGGCATTGCACTCAGTGAATTATATGTCTTAACTCCTTAGTTTGGACTCACCATCTGTAGCCTTGAGGTTACAAAAAGTACCCGATGCTTTCATTCGGCTTTTAAATATATAGTCCAGCAATTTGTTCTCCAGGCTTCTGTGAAGTGATCCAATGTCACTCTTCTTCCCAAACATCTACCCAATAGAAAGTTGAGATTGTTCAGGGCTCCCTACTATCCAAAAAGCTAAATTGCCCTTGTTGCACATTCATTCAGTAACTGTGCATTGAAGGTGCCATTCTCTGAATGCCCGCACACAGGACAGTCAACAGACATGATCCTTGTCTCCATGAGATGAGCAAACGCAGGGCTGAATGGCACAATTGTGAATTATGATCAGGTCAGGAAGATCAAAGGGAACAGATGCTGTTATCAAAACTTTGAAATGAGGAATTTTTCCAGGAGGATGTAGAAACTTCTCTCTGGGGAGGTGATATTAGTGTCAGAGCTGACAAAGGATCCAGAGAAGAACTCAGTGAACCTGCGCTCCGGGTGCTCTAGCTGCGTGTCAGTCCTGGGGTTCAGGACAGAGGTTGACATGTGCAAGAAATGCCCAGATTGTCACAACAGTTAATAAGTGAGAGAGAAGGCAGAGAAGCTTACTGCTGTGTGCAGGGGAAACCATAAACAGGATTATAGTCTAGATCCAGAAACTTGGATTTTATTACAAGATGAATATGAAACTCTTAAAGAATTATAAGCAGGAAAGAGACACTGTATAATCTTGGTCTTCCAACAGCCTTTGGCTGTGTAATCACAAATGGAACGCAAAATAAAGAGGAAGCTAAATAAGAATTGGAATAGTCTGAAGAAGTAATGAGAAATATGAGACTGGCAGTGGAATCAGAGGGAGATGGACTGTGAAGGCCTGTGAGGGAGGGATCAAGAAGGAAGAGTAAGGGAGCATGTTACCTCTGTAGTTTTCCAAGTGAGTAGGGAAGCCATGACTGAGAACGAGTATAATTTTTAAGGCACAAATCCTATATCCAAATCTTACTACAGGCTCTTCTGTAGGCTTTGAGATGTTCAGCTGGGACATACTGTAGAGAATTAAAAATATGAGTCAGAAGAAAGATCTGTTCTGAAGGGATCCTCAAAAATTTTACAGGAAGCTCATATTATGAAAATACTGCACGGATTTCAAAAAAATATTCTTGTGCCAAAATAAACTAGTCTTTAAACTTCATTTTTCCATGACATTTTTTGAGTTACTATTTCTAAGTCATCCATGAATTGTAGTTATGGCCACTGGATAAGTCCTCTTGCAAGACGGTGGCAGATGAAAAGAGAGTTCAGAGGAAAAAATAATCCCACATACCTGAGTGGCAACAAAGCCAGGGAAGGAGACAGAGAAGATGCTAATAAGAAACAAGAAAAAGGGGAGGGCTGTGTGAGATCAGCCAAGTGAAACTGTTTCAGGAAACAAGAATCGTCAAATATAGCAACAGGATGAGGACTTCAAATTAATCATTAAAGCGGGGAGAAGAGGGAGTGGATGAAGGACATCGGAAAGTGAACAGGCGAATGAGAAAGATTAAGAGTAGATGGTTCAGGGAGATGATTTGTAAGTCTAGATAGGAAGCATGCAAATTCTCACAAATAAAGATACCAAGGTGAACAGAAGGCATTTTCAACAACAAATAAATAGCAAATCAGTTTTTAATGTCATAACAAGATGTTAGCCAAGTTGTAGTGAGATTGGTGTATTAAATACTCACTCTTAACATTATAAATTGATAGAATTCCTTAAAAAAAATAACTTGGCAATAGATATAGAAAGAACTTTGACCAAGCAATTGTTTTTAAGGGAATCTAGTCTAAGAAACTAACTTAAATACTCACTTGATCCAAGCTATTTATTCCGGCAACACTTATAACACTAAAGACCTGAGAAAAAATTAACTGCAAGCAGTGAAATGGTCAAATAAATTATTGTGTATTCACACACACAAAGAAATATTATGCAAATTTTAACATAATAAATATCAATGGGAAGTAAATAATGCATTCAAATACTTAAATTCTGATTAAAATAGGATAAATCAACACTTCAGAAAAAGAGATTGGAAAGAAACGAATAAAAAGAAAAGAACGCATGTGGAAGGGAAGCAGGATCACGATGATATGCCCTCTACTCACTATTTTATCTGTGATGCAGTTTGTGTTATTTTTAAAATAAAATATTTTAGTAAGTTGTTGGCAATGTTGTTCTCTCTAGGCTGCATGAATAAAAATTCTATCATGGACACTATTTTGAACAAAAAAGAATTATTAATATTTATAATGTTCATATTACTATCGTGTCATTTTAAAAATGAAGGCAAAACTATCTTTGCTGATTCACATCTATCCTGATTTATTTCACATATGAATATCAGCTTTCGCAAGCGCTTGTCTATGTGAGTGGAATCTGCTCTCTTGAGAGTTCGTCATTCTGTTTGTTTTGTCATTCC